AGCAGTAGTACTAGTAGTAGCAGTAGTAGTAGTCCTCGTCGTAGTAGTAGTAGTAGTAGTAGCAGCGGTAGTGGTAGAGGTAGTGGTAGTGGCAGTGGCAGTGGTGGTGGTGGTGGTAGTAGTAGTAGTAGTCGCAGTCGCCCTGGTAGCGGTAGCAAAAGCAAGGGCAATAGAAATGACCCTAAGCTGAAAAGGGATTTCTGACCCTAAATCCCCAACAGTGCTGACAGGCTACTTCAAACGAGGAACAAAGCCCAACCTGCAAACCCTTGATAGAAACAGAAAGGCTGAAACCCCGAAGTGAAGAGCTAAACCCTAAACAGCCTTAAACCCTAAGAAACTAAAATTAACTGGCAACCTTCGTCTGTTCAGCAGAGAGCTCACGCTTGGGCTCGGAGTTCTCGGAAGCCTTTGCAGACTGGCTGTTCGTGCCCTGTTGAGGCTTTTAGAGCTCAGGGTTTAGGGTTGAGGTTTTGGGGGTCTTGTCTGCTCTTTCGTTGGGGGGGGTTTTGTTGGGGCGGTTGGGTGGAAGTCAGCCTTAGGAGGGCTTCAAATGTTTCGGGCTGACATCGTCGGGGGCCAGGGGAGGGAAGGGTGGGTAAGGTTTTGTAAGGTGCGGGATTTATCTCGCGTTTTGGCTGTTAATGTTCCAATAAGTAGCACTGATGATGTTTGAAGGGGTCCAAGGGAGACCTTGCTCCAGGTTAAAGGACTGCAGGTCTCAACCTTTTGGGTTTACAGGGTTTAGGGTTTGGGGTTTAGGGTTCAGGTGTTGATGTCCCGAACCTCCATTAGAGGCCCTACAATCGACGGCTAACCAAGTCCTGAAATCCCCAACCTGAACCCCGCAACCCAACATAAACATCTACTCGACGGGATCCCACCGAGCGCGCTGCCGAGGTATCGGGCTCATTGTACCGGCTACCTTTTCGGATGCTCAAGGGTTGGGAGCATGAACAGCTGTGAAGGCTTGGGGCTGAGACTATTTCAGGGGTCTGGAGCTTTGGATTTAAGGCATTAGGAACTTTGAACTACATTCCGGAACCCTGAACTCTTGCATTCTGAGATCTCCGTTCCTTGAGCGCGAGAATTCGACATCCAAGGGTTCCCCGCCCATGACAGTGGATTCCAAAAAACCTAAGCAAAGTGAGAAACGATAAACACAAATAAACTAAGCGCCACTGTGTTGATAGGTGCGGGAGGGGGGGGGCTTTGGCTATGCCTATAGTCTCCATTGCAGTTCCTTTTTTTGGTTTAACCAGTTATACATTAAGGATTTTATGCGGTATCCCCAAAAAGGATCTACTTTAGGGCCTATGGGTAGCTCCAAAAAAGCAAGCCCCCAGCCCGGCGCTCCGGCGGCCTCCTTGCGTCCGCTCAAACTCGTCGACAAGGTCGGCGATCTCATCTTCCATGTTTCGGCCGACAGCACCCCTATACCCTAAACCCTGAACCCTAAACCCTAAACCGTGTTTCGGCCGACAGGCACCCGCTTGTGAGCGGGGCTGAGTAGATGTTAAAATAAGAAGAATCGTCAGAGGTCATAAGAATGACAAGACTCATGCAAGTGCTAATCGCGGTTTCCTAGCTTCCGCCATAACAGCCATAACATGTACATCCGTGCTCGCGTCGTAGCTTCCTGTATCGAACCAGCTGCAATGCAAAAATAAAGAAATGGTCACGCCCTCGCCGCCAAATCATAACCATAGTATTGGTGGCTGGCCTGTCTGCTTAGGCGCGACTTTGGGAAAATACCACCTCGTATCAAATGGATGGCTCCGTAAATTACAAATTGTGGTCACCGCGTGGATCCGCAAACAACACCCCACATTATGAGACTGACCCCGCAAGACACCACCTTGATTTGGCTAACTACCCACAAGCGCCAGAGCCAAACAAACCAACCAACCCGAGGCCCTAACTAATCGAATCCATACACCCCAATAATGCCCCATAAACCGAGCGATACCGCGTGCGGCAAACCGAGGATTCAGTTTCAACCTGACGAGGGCGAGACGTCCGGTGAGGATGGCCCGCACTGTGGCGCCAAGTGCACCCCTCCACGGGTGGCAAAGGAGAGGCCCAGAGCCCGGAGCAGCAGAGAAACCCCCGCAAAGTCCGGCAGAGGTTGAGATGTGGGTGGTCAGCGCTGGGGAGTCGCCTCGCCACGACCCTTAAGTCAAGGCACGCCGGCTCTTGGGACCCTAAAGCCTAAACCCCTTAAACCCGAAACTCTGTAGACCCTTATGGTACGACGGCACAGAAGAAAGCTGAAGGATCTGTGGCGCCGTGTATGGTTCAAGGGTGTAGGTTCTGCTTGCTTGGTGTAGGATTTGGGGTTCGTCGTTCGGATTGGGTTTAACCTTTCGATTCATGCTTTGGGATTCAACTTGTTGTTGCAGTCGTTGAGTCTCGGGTTTTGCGTGTTGGGAGGTGGCTTTCAGGGGTACTCTACTCTTGTGAAGATGAACAGAGAACCCAAAGACGTAACGCCTCAACCCCAATCAGCCTGCCATGCTAGCCAATTGGATTCCCGATCTATCCAACCCTGTCAAATGCACCGGCAGTAAGTGTCTCCCACGGCAATGCAACCGTCGGATTATAACGCGGTCCAAAATCCTAAACCCTAAACCCAGGCTGCGCAGCTCTTTCTTACGAAGTCGTGCCGTGGTCTCATAGCCTGCATCCAGTCTTTGCATCCAGGCACGGGCATTCGGCAACACACCGGCTCGAAAAATGTAGAAACCCGATTGAGAAAGCCTGACGCTTACTCGGATTCGTCGTATGGATCCTAGCCTAGGGCTCTTTCAGGGGCTTGGACCCCAGCAGCCGGCTGACCTGAGCTCGTCCGTGCTTTCGAATTTTTGTCCCTAAGGTTTCAGGGTCAGAAAGAGTGTGATCATAGCGCTCTAGGTTTCCGGGGGTTTTGTCCGGAAGCCAATCCTAAGCCCAGCAGCATGAAGTCGCATTTCCAGTGTCACATTCAACATGCATACAAGCTCGACAGAGCTCTTTGTGGCATTCCGGCTTTGTAACTGAGGTTTCAAGAGGAGCTGCAGGAACCTGCGGGTCTTTGCAAATGGCTCTTCGGGGGATTCTGTGGACCTTTGGAGGGGCCGGAAGTTTGCATGGCACAGCTACAAGTACATAGAAGAACACTACACTTTCGCCTCAACGTCTGAAGCCTCAGCAAAGCTCTGGTGGAACTCAACCGTGGAACTTCGAAGACATGATGTTCGTCACCGTCATGAAATTCGTCGCCGTCATCATCACGCAAAGTTTCACCTGCTTCGCGGCTTCGCCAGCACCCACCTAGTCAACAACCTGCCCGTTACCCCTCGGTAGAGGCAAAGTCGGTGCGCCTTAAGGGCAAGAGACCTAGAGCACCGCCCCTGCCTCAAGTCATAAGACGGTTTAGGGTTTAGGGTTTAGGGTTTAGGGCCAGACAGCTGAAAGGCAAGGTCTTGTCGAATCCGGTGGGCGCAGCCAACACATCCGGAAACACTCATTCGAGGTCCGTGCCCTCTCGTCTTCTTCCCGGCGGTCTGTGGCCGTCCTCGCCCAGCGAAACAACAGTAACAGAGGGGTTCAGGGTCATGGGTTCAGGGAATGCAATCACATGGCATCAGGGTGACACTTTGCAGCCGGAGTCGAAGCTTTCGGACCACCGGCTCCGTGGGGGTCTGGCACAACACATGCAGAAAATGATCAGGCCGTCTGTTTGCGCTTAGTGTTCGGAATTTTGAGACTGCGTCTGCTAGCAAGCCCCGAACTTCCCACCAACGAAAAGCTTGCAGCGTGTGTTGATCTGTCAGGCTCTTGCGTGTCGTGTGTCGTGTTGGCAGCTTGCAGCGCAACACGAATAATTCCGAATAGAAGGTGTGAGTCTTGCTCGAGAACACCTGCCACATACTACTGCCATTGCTGCAACTGGTGCTACTGGTGCTACTACTACTACTACTACCACCACCACGACTACGACGACTACGACGACGACTACTACCACCACTACTACTACCACGACGACGACGACGACGACTGCTACTACTACCACCCGTGCTATCGCTATTAACAGACTCGGATGTATTGCGAACGAATCAGCTCCATCTGATGCTCATCCCACACTGGTTTATGGCTTAGGCTAGGGGTTTAGGATTTAGGGTAAAGCTCGGCAAAAAAACCTTTGCCCACACTTCCACAAAGCCACTCTCCGTCCTGAAGGCCACCCATGCAATATGGGGGAAAGTGTCTAAGTCGGTCGTGTCGACGCTGCTCGGGGCCCGCAGCCACCTCAGTGAGCTTGGGGTGTGCGTTGGGAAATTGGGGATTGGAGAGCCTTGAAGGTTTTCAGGGTTTAGGGTTTACATGGTACAAACTTTTTCAAGGCACCATGCTGGAGTCGGAATGCTGAAGTGAGCCTGCAGATAAGGAAAACTCAAGAGTGAGTAGGAAGATCAACGAACAATTGATTTACCACAGTCTTATATACACGTCCAATACAGAGCTTTATGGGGACAGCACTACTCTTTAATGATTCAGACGCCTTGTCAAAGTGGCATAAAACCTTATTGATCTGTCTGTATTGCCCCTTGGGGGATCCTGAGTTGAGGCCGGTTCAGATGCCCGAGACTGGCCTGTCACCTCTACAACCTGCCCGACAACATGCCACTGCGAAAAGGAAGGATGGACCGGGAGCACTGGCTCCTGCGTGAAGGAGCCATACGCATAGAGCGCCCAGAACCAACCTCAAACAAACTTGCGATGAAACACAGGGTTTAGGGTTTAGGGGTCTAGGGTTAAGTTTAGGGGTCGGCAACATCAACAGCAGCAGCACACACTGGGTATTGTCAGCAGGTCGCACCGACGAGGACAAGGACTCACCGAAATGCAGAACTTTTGAGGGCATGCAAGGCTGTCTGTAGGCAGAAAGGCAGACAGCAGTAGTATGTAGTATTGTCCTGTGACAAGCGACAGTCTCAACGATCAGAGGCAGAACAGCGTCTTTCAATGCATCAGGGTGATACTTCTTACACATCGCACCATCCCAAATACTAGCCAAATTCTACGAGCAAGCATCGCAAAATCATACTACATTGTTACAGCGACACACGATGTGTAGATACAATGCTACATATACATAGATAGATAGATAGATAGATAGATAGATAGATAGACAGATAGATAGACAGATAGATAGACAGATAGATAGACAGATAGATAGATCGATAGATAGATCGATAGATAGATCGGTAGACAGATAGAAAGATGGATAGAGATAGAGATAGAGATAGAGATAGAGATAGAGATAGAGATAGAGATAGAGATAGAGATAGAGATAGAGATAGAGATAGAGATAGCGATAGCGATAGCGATAGCGATAGCGATAGCGATAGAGATAGCGATAGAGATAGAGATATATATATATATATATTTATATATAGATAGATATAGATATAGACACAGATATAGATATAGAAACAGAAGCAGATATAGATATAGATATAGAGATGTATACATGTATATAGATGCAGATATAGATATAGATGTAGATGTAGGTATACATCGAGATATAGATGTAGATATAGATGTAGATAGATAGATAGATAGATAGAGGGAGAGAGAGAGAGAGAGAGAGAAAGAGGTTGAGAGACAGGGAGAGAGAGTGAGAGAGAGAGAGAGAGATAATAACGCATCATGCAGCATAGCAGCGCAGAGCTAACTTGTATGTTGTCTTATGGCATCACCTTCTGGTTTATGTCATGTCATTCTGAGAAGTGCAGATTGAAGATGGACTTCCAGGCAGGGGCAGGAGTCACTACCGGACCGTGAGCTACAACTCCTCCTGTGCGGCAGTAGGTCTCACTCTAGATGAACCTCATTCTATTCTCCCACCATAGGCTGAGGCTGCTATAGAACTCAAGCGTTGAGCTGCAATTGGCTGCTCATGAACCCAGAAATCTAGGGACCTGAATAGTTTAGAAAACTATAGCATAAGACTTATACTGAAGATATCATACTATGCATAATGACATAATGCTTACGATGAGGAATAACAAGAAGGAGTCATAAAGAATAATGTTAGTAGCATTTCTCAAACCCTAAGTTCGCTTTGGGAAGTATCTGGAGTGACATGTCCGAGAGGCTGCCATCCACCGCGTTGGTCTCACCCAGAATGCTTTGGGCCTCTGTCGTCGGTATAAACTCTGAAAAGGGGAATAATGGTATGTTACAATATATTCTAGCATATTCTAGTGAAATATTGCAGATATCAAGCAATTATGCTGTAGTTTATTACAGTGTGTCGTCACGAAAGCTTTGCATGTTGGTCTGTGTTTTCCGGTGGAGCTTTGGGTACTCATGTCTGTTGAACAAGCCATCAAAACGGCGACAGCCGACATTAAAAGGTCGCATAACACCAACACATATGAGCAACAGCTAGCATGCAAGACCAACAGTACAGTGGAAAGCGCGATGCTCAACCAGACATGAATACACAAGCAGTGATGAAAGAGCAAAGCTTCTCATGTAGGCGACCTACCTCTCCGAGGCTACGACTACGTGGCCGTACTCGCCGCCGTAGTCGTCGAACTCCACCCCACCTTCCTAGCAGGCTCGAATCTTGGTATTTGAGTTGAGGGTTCCCTGGCCATGGAAGCCCCCGAGATCCGAAAGCCGAAACCCCGAAGCACTGCAGCTCTGCACCTGAAACCCTAAAGTCCCAAATCCAAACATGCCTGCTCTTTTGCCCGTGCTTTCGAGCTGCTATTTCAATCCTACATTAAACCCAAATCCCTGACTCTTTCTCAAGGATTTCGGGTTTAGGGAATGAGGCTGAGCAGCGCAGTTTTACAGCCTGGTGACAGGAAGTTGCCAGCTGAGGCTTTTCGGTTGCAATGTCGGGGCCTTGATACATAGAAAAGGGTTCTGGGTCCGTTTATAGTCGAGTTATAATAGGAAACCCATAGGAATAATATGGGTAATTACCGTAGGCTTCTAAAGTAGTCTAGTCTTACGCCAGTTGTCGTTGATGGAAGCCGAGTGGTCCGACTCCTCGCTAACCCTAAGCCAGCCTACACCAAAATCTAAACACTGCAATGTTTGCGGGTGTCCGAATGTAGGGGACTCTAATATAGGACCCTAAATAGTAGGATGCTTATGAAAAGGACCCCAAAATAAGGTAACCCCCAATTTTCGGAAACTCCCATTTCGACTCTGGGTTCCATGTCGCACTCTGGCATGCGCAGGCTGGGCCACTGGGGGAGGGCCAAATGCTGCTGTGAGTTTGGCGTTTCGCGTGATTGCTTGGCCACAAAGCGGCGATGTCTGCTGTGGAAACCAAGACACGTCCACACATGTAAGCACACGTGGACGATGCTAGTGTCTTTACTTGGTGTGTATCTACGACCTCTAATTAAGTTACAACCCAACTAACAGTGCGACCGACTATCAAGACCCTTCTTGACGTAGACACTCGATACGAACCCTAAACCCTAAACCCTAAACCCTAAACGCAAACCCTAAATCTTTGACCAGAACCCTGCCAAGCTCTGTCCTGTCCTGGCCCCCCAGAACTTCTCGGGTGAGATCCCAGGCTGTCGTCAGCTCGCTTCCCGGTTTCGCGGAGAAGACAGTCTGCAATGAGACGTATACTTATATTATATGTACATTGTACATATGTGTGTATATGTGTATGTATACATCTATGTATATATATATATATATATGTATATGTATATATGTATATATATATATATATGTATACATACGTGCATACATGCTTAAGTGGTTCTGGAGCTTTGGCTTTGTGCTTCACGAGGCTTCAGGGGCTGTCGTTGCAGCTGCTGGGCTGCAGGCTTTAGGCTTTGACAAAGACCTTCTCGGATTTAGGGTTTAGGGTTTAGGGTTTAGGGACCCTAAACCCGAAACCCTAAACCCCAAATTCCTTAAACTGGATTTCGGATTGAAGGCTCTGGCAACCTAGACTTTTGTGCTGTTTAGGCCGGAATAGAGAGCACGTGCAGTTTGAGCTTTAGGCCCAAGATCGTACTAATTGATGAAGACCTAAACTCAGCACACGTCCGTAGCAACAGAGTTTCAGTCCTCAGCCGAGCTTCATGTTGTAGCGCACAGGCCCTTAACAACTGGGAAAGGACCACTATCCCTGTACCCCTGCTATGCATATGTGGGCACCGTCCGTCTCGCTGCCTCTCTTTCTCAGTCTCTCTCACTCTCTCTCTCTCTCTCTCTCTGTCTCTCGCTCCCTCTCTCACCCGCACTCTCACTCTCACTCTCACTCTCACTCTCACTCTCACTCTCACTCTCACTCTCACGCTCACTCTCACGCTCACTCTCACTCTCACTCTCATTCTCACTCACACTCACATTTGTTTTTCCCTCTCTCTCTTTTTCTCTCTCTCTCTCTCTCTCTCACTTTCTCTCACTTTCGCTCTCTCTCTCTCTCTCTCTCATCTACTATATATATATATATAATTATATTTATATAGGGATGTATACACACAGAAACACATATCCGCAAACATCTGTCCCCATCTTGATAAACCAAACATACACATACACACACAGAGACAAAATCGTATCGCAGCACCTTGTTAAACTACGCTGAAGCCACCCAGGCCCAGGGGATGGGATTACCTTGAGGAACCAGTTGTTGAAACAACAGCATCATGCAGAATTCCTTCTGAGAGGAGTCACAGCTTAATTGACACAAGGTTTCGGGCTTAGAGTTTAGGGTCTACAGTTTGGGGCTTGGCGTGCAGATCGTGTGGTGAATTTCTCGGCGGTCGTTTTCCGATGTGGTTCATGAAAGAAGGAGTCTGCAAGCACTGTTGCCAGGCAGATAAACAACACCGAAACTGTTGCTGATATGGTTATTAATTTTTCTACTTGTTACTAAACTAAACTCAAAGCATAGCTGACACAAGTGCTGGCCAGCTCCCACATCAGTGGTGCATTGGCATGTGGAGCTTTGTGCACCAGAAAATAACATGCAATCCATGGGGCCTATCTCAGGATCCTCGGGTCCATGCATAAGATTGAAACACACAGATCCTGTCTCAAGCACCCTGAGATAAACCCAAGGGTGCTCCATGCGAAGCCACCTTTAGATCTCCTCTCGTAGAATCAGAAAATTGCCGTATTGGTGCTGTATCTTCACAAGCCCTCGCCGCAAAAGCAGCCATGAATGCCTCAGCCTCCATAGGTCAACTTGCAGCAAGACCAGGTGAACTATGTACAACCCGACATCCAAAGATCATATCAGAGATGGGACTCGCGTTAGCCGAGGCCTCCAACCCAGCAAAGCTTACTCAGGGCTTGAGGCTTTGGAAGTTAATTAGGGCTCAGGTACAACCGGAGGACATGCACGAATAAAACCCACTCCACGAGGTCGGAGGACTTGGCTAATTCGAGACCCATGCCTAATCGTGAAGTCCCTTCGAGATCTTCTTGGCCAGGGCGTCATAGCGGGTTCTCGCCAGGATGAGGCTGAACCTTGGGATCTTGCAAACCCCTAACCAGTTTGTGGCTCCCTTGGGGCTCAGAGCTTAATGCCGGAGTAGTTGGAACAGGGTTTTGGGGTATATAACAACCCCCACCCCCTGTGAAGACCCACAAAGAAGCAATAACTCTATTACTAGCTAGTTCCTCCCAAAGTAACTATGGCAGTAACTATGGCGTCAGGATCGTCAAAGTGTTCAAAGAGCTGAGAACATAAACTCCTGATAGGCCCTAGGGCCTAGGGGAAATGCAGAGGTGCTGGTTCGCATGGGAGCCGAGTGCAAGACCCAACAACTCAGACATCCAATGCATGTCAGGGTTGGGAAATTCTGTGGGCCTGGTAGCTGCTTCTCAGGCTCCTGCTCCGGAATCAAGCCAGAACTCGAGAAACACACTCTGAGACCATGACAGCTTCGAAGTAATTCGGGCCTATAGGCGTTAACGAGAAAAGGCAAACAGTTACTAGTCAGCAGCGCAGGCGCACAAATACGGCAACCGAAGTGCCAATGCCGAACGCATACCTCGAAAGAGCAGGAGAAACCGCTTTTGAAAGCTCCGACACTCTTCTAGGGTGTGGGACCCATCACCCTGACAACTGCTCTTCCACCTGACACCTTCCTTAACTTACGCTGCCTGTCTGGGATGCAGCAGGTTTACCGTAGGGAGGCAACTTAATTTCTAGCTGTTAGCATTAGGCCCCATTAGGCCTGTCTGCAGTCTAGAACTTACGCGTTCCGGGTGTCCCTAAACCCACCCCCAAACCCGAGGCCTAGGCATGGGACGCTTGTTGTCCAAAGGGTCTCACCGGGTTGAGAATGTTGGAAAGATGCACTAATGAACATCTCTTGATCCGCTTAAAATGCGGATATAGGGTTGCAATTTCGGGTTGGGGATTCAGGGTTACGCAGGCAACAGGCCGTCCAGAACAGTCATGGACAAATATCTCCGCAAGGGTATAGATTCAGAGACTTCCAAAGTGCCGAGTAGCTGTCCCCACCGTTCTCTGCGATCTATGGTCAGGATGGTCAAAGTAGGCGCAAGAAGCCCTACACCCTGAACCGCGAAGCCATTTGAAGTGTATAGCAGCCCGCTAGTGTTCGCTTCTTGAACCTTGACAGAGCTCACGAGCCTCCAGAATTTCTTGGGTCGAAAGCTTCAAACGCATGAATGGCTTCCTGCCATGGGCCATATGTGTGGAAACAGCTGGTTTAGGGACTGGGACTTGTATGATCGCCCGAATCATATGCACATATATCATATGCACTGTTATGTACACAAAAAAAGGAGAAAGGTACATGCGCAGAAGGGATGCATGCATCTGATTTTTTTGGGCTGCTGCTGAAGGTTGAAGGGCGTTGGGCTGTTTACAGTTTCCAGCCTCGCAAAATATCAAGCCATATTGACATGAAGAAACGAAGGGAATCGCAACTGAGATTTAATCCCTCACAGCTGATGTGGCTAGAAATCCTTGCCCTGAAGCCATCTTGCACAAAGGTGCCAGACACCGCGGACACCATAGCCAAACTTGAAGGCGAGGGCAAATCCAGTGGGAAGCATCAGGCCATAGTAGCTCACGAGGTAAACCACCTGCGCCAGAAAGAGACAGGGCGAAGGGCACCATGCATGGTCCCCCCTACATTTCGAAGTGTGTGCACACTGCCGGAACCCTTAACACAATATGGGGGGGGGGCGAATACTTAGAACATATTTTGGGTATATTATACTAACTGAGTACAACCATAGAACAGGTGAGGAACCCCAAAATAGTATTGGTAATCATGTCGGCCCCTATATTACTTCTTATGCTTCGAAGGGGGAAAGGGCATGGCGCCCTCACGAACAAGAGAGAGCGAATGAAGAACCCCTTGGTGAGCACGAGACATTGCACAAGTGATCCCCTGCATCCGATGAAGGCTTCTTGATGTCGCGACTGTAAACAAGCAATTTGCAGCAGTCAGCATGGCATCCCCTTACCGTCTCTGTACAGTTCATACAGTAATTCATCATAACCGCCAAAGCCCTATTCTAATTTTTAAGGCCCTAAACCCTAAACCCTAAACCCTACAGTGCCCTTTCATCATCGAGCTTTTCCGAGAGCCAAAGAGGCCAAGCGGCGCTTCCTGCTGCCATCTTGCCCATGCCGCGAAGTGCTCCCGACATGATATGCTGCGTGGTGTCAGGCAAGCCAGCCTGGGTTTAGGGTTTAGGGATTCGGGTTTAGGAGGGTTTAGGGTGTAGGGTTTAGGGTTTAGGGCCATGGATCCCCAAAGCATCCAAGCAACTACAGGGGTCTTAGACGTCGGAACAGGATTTGGTTTCGGGGCATAAATCATAATGGAGTCATATCACATAAACCTAAGGAACGTTTCAGGCCACTAAGGTACGCAGGAGCAATGGACTTTCTAAGTTACTTTGACATGTTGCGATCTTCGGGGACAAGGTTCAGGCCCCATGGGTTGCCAGGTGAAAGTGGGAGCGGCTGGCTGCTACCACTCTCTGATCACCCCTAGGTTTAGTTCTTGTAATATACTCTTGACTAGTACATCATACTATATTCTATTGTGCTAAAACCCTAAGCCCCTAAACCCTAAACCCTATTGCATTATATTATATGAAATGTTCTTATATCATATTGTAGCATATAACGATGATGCAGCAGCCGCGGCCTTGGTGGACAGTGCAAGCGACCGGAGCCACAAAGCCGAGGAAAGACAAGTAACAAGGAGGGTTTCGGGTTTAGGGTTTAGGGGTTTAGGGGTTTAGGGTTTAGGGTTTAGGGTTTGACGTTCAGGGCTTAGGTTTTTTTTTGTTTTGAACGCATTTTTCCGTCTGCTTGTCTTAGCGTCGAGAACCTTCACCAGGCAGGAGGCATGAAAAAGGGCTTAGGGTTTAAGGTTCAGGGCTTGGGGTTTAAGGCTCAGGGCTTATAGGGTCTAGGAATCAAGCGAACGCAGTAACTCCAACAGCCGTACAGGGCAGGCGTAGCAAATGAAAGTATCCCTTTGTCCCAAACCCTTATAAACCTGAAGCCCGAAACTGACAAGTGAGACCAAGAGTGACTCATGACAAGGTACAAAAGCGAAGATCACCAGAAGGCTCTGCATCAGCACAGACACCTGGAAACCCAGAGCGGTTTGGGCTTAGGGTTCAGGTACTATGGTGTAGGGAAGATGAGGATTTAGGGTCAGGTTCAGACCCTCTGCCACCCTGCCGTGACATCCACGGCAACAGCAAGCGCCGTGCTCGACAATGGTAAGAAACATGCGCAAGGTCTTGACACACCGTGAGAGGTGGTGGCAATAACACTGACAACCCTCAGAACAAGACTAGAAAATATTGGTTTGCAGGTGTATCCTGAGGAAGGTGGAATGTCTCGAGATGCAGCTGACGAGGTTTGGGCAGATGGCTTGGGCGACCGGGATTTGAGGCATATGGCCTGAACATCCAGGCAATGTTCTGCTGTTGTTGCAGTTCTGATTCCCAGGCTCCTGGGCCTTGTATCGAAGACGTGGTTCGTAGTAGCCGAGGCACTCTTACATTTCTTCGAAACACGGAAGCATGAGATAGTTGGTGGTGATGATGGCCACGGTTGAGGTCAAGGCAACCGACTCAGGACGCTACATCAGTGATGATTGCGGTCTCCGCCAATGCAGGCTTTTGTTGGAACGTCAGTCAGACACAAGCATATCGGCATAGCGGCCATTGAGCACGATCACGCTTGACCAAAGCACACACACATGACATAGCTGTTGCAGTTTGGTCCGTGGCCACCATGAAGCTTCCCCATCATCCTTTTCAGCTTTTAAGTAGCAGCTGAAAGAAATATCACCGTCGTGTAATCTGCAATCATGACATGTTGGGCAAGATCAGATCAGACCATGAACAGCATTCAGCAAGATCCGTCATCATTGTTCCTGCTACTGTATCGCTGGATCTCGATATTCGTTGCCATGCACCTTAGCACGGATTCAGTAGCTGATGTTGCGATGCCTCAACCCCAAGCTGTGTACTACCTGCTGAAGCACCTCTCCCGGCCGCACGTACATCGACGCGACAGCGTGGCGCCCGAACCTCTGCATCAGGTCTTGGAGAGGAGGAGGAAGACCGAAACAATATTGGAACATATTGGAATCCATCCGGAAATGTATGGGACGCTCCTCATCATCATGCCTCAACCTCGCTTCCTGCTGCGTCTCTTCCCCGAAGTCAATGGCATCACCATAGCCGTCACCTCATCAGGAGCATCATGATGACGAGCACTGTCAACATCTGTCGCAACAGCAACCCGAGTCCGAACATCGTCACCATCACGGTCATCATCATCGTCGCCGTCATCAGCATCTCCTGCATCTTCGTAATCATCTTCCTTGCCAGTGCCACCTGTGTCGGCGAGCCTGGGCCTACATACCACAGCCTGCCAGATGCAGCTGAGCTGCAACACCCCTATGCCGATCGTAAGCCAGACTAGGAGGTTGCAGAAAATGCAGACCTTGACATAGCGTCGAGCGTCCGTCGGCCTGCAAGGGCGGACAGCCGCTCCAAACAATCCTTCTAGCGTCTGCAGAAGTGAGGGTTCGCAAACCCTGAAACTTAAGCCCTAAAGCCCAGAACCCAAACCACTCCAGAATTTGCCCCGGCGACCAAAACCGATGCGCTTCGAACCCTACTCGGCCTGTACTGCTTGGACATTGGCTTTGTGCTTCGATCGCCAAGTCTCATGAAAGACCGCTAGCTGCGATGTCTTTGTATCCCCCTTGAAGTCACATAAAAATATATTACAAAAACATTGATGTTGTTCCACTCTTCATGTTGATCTCCTTGGCTCTCCAAAGATTGAATCTTCATGTCTTCGGGGTTTAGGGGTTCAAAACCAAGGCACAGGGTCTACCTGTCATGTGAGAAGAATGCCTAGCCCTCCAGGTACCTACTATATAGGGTACTAGAGCCCTAGCCCTATATAGTAGGCAGAACCCTAAACCCTAAACCCTAAACCCGAAACCCTAAGTAGGCACCTGGGGGTTAGGGAATGCTCGTCTTCTTCTTGATCAGACTGCACTGCCTACGATGCTGACCCTACCGTTGAAACGGCGCCTGATCCCTTCCACTCAACTGCAGAAACCTAGCTATAGTCTCCATTGTAGCTCCTTTTTTGGTTAACCAAATTTATACTAAAGGATCCTAACCATAAAATTGGGTAACCAAAAAAAGGAACTACAATGGAGACCATAGGTAAGTTCTGATCTTCCACCGTAGACCCGCAAGACTCCCCAATCCTTGGTTTAGGGTTAACTCAGGGTTAAAGGCCTCCGCGATTGAAAACGACTGACGCGCTGAACCCCTAGCCCTAGAACCTCTGAAGGCCTGAAGCATCAAGCCTATATGGTTTAGGGTTTAGGGTTTAGGGTTTAGCCCTGAGACCCCAGACCCATAGGTGTCTAACTCTCAAGCGAAACTTCAGACTAAACTCTAAACCCCAACCCAACCTCAAGCCTTCGAACCCCAAGGACCGATACACCCTGAAAACCTCAAACCTCGATGCTTTCTCCGCCTGTTTGCTCCCAGCATATTGCCAATCAATGCCGCGGCTGCCGAGGAAATGCCCATGGCCGGCATGAAGCTGAGCCCGATGAACCTAACCATTTATAAGGACTCGGTGGGTTTAGGGTTTAGGGCTTACCATTTATAAGGACTCTGTGGGTTTAAAAGTTTAGGCTTTAGGGCTTAGACTGATGGATTTCTGGCTCTGTGGGTTTAGCTGGTTCAGGGTGTCCGGTCTAGGGTATGGGCATCGTGCCGATGGCGCTGGCAGGCTTCTTGGGATTTCGGCTTGTGGTCTGGCCGTGAGATTTGCGGTTCCCATGACGAAACTTGACTCCAACTCGTGCTGGACTGGAACGGCTGAAACCCTGAGACTAATACGCCAAAAAAAGTCGAGGAACTGGTTCGCAGCCACGTGTGCGGCTAGGGGCACGGTGCCCAGGAAGCCCACCAAGAGGGCATTGATCTCCCAGAACCACCATTCACTGCTCATCTGCAACACGCAAGGCAGCGCAATCTTGAGATACTTCCCCCATTCTTGAAAGGTTCCCTTGCCGGGAAGAAAGACATCTCGCCGGCTCATGCCTAACTTGGGGGCGATGCGCATGACGTAGAGGCTGATCAGAAACCATTGTGTTGTCCAGGTCATAGCATTTGCATAGCCAGCCCCTGTGTTGCCGAGGCCTAGCTTTACCACAAAGAAGGTGCACCAGCCCACGTGCAACAGCGACGTGATGACATTGATGATTAGTGGAGGGGTCGTCTTGCACTGGTTCTGCAAGAACTTGGCCAAGGCCTGCCATGTAGGGTTTAGGGTTTAGGGTTTTGGGTTTAGGGTTTAGTACTGCTACCACCACCACTACGAATTACATCACTGCCTTAGTGTCACAAGCATTCGAGTACAAAGACAACAAATCGAATGAAAAGCAAGGCCAGTACAGCCGCAATCAGCACACGTGTAAACATGCAGGTATTCCAGTGTTATTGCATTATTACAGCATGCACTGCATTACGAGCCTACGCGCTCCTGAGATCATCAAACCATAAGCCCCCAAACCCTACAGCATTGTGCCTGTGGGCCTAAGCCCTGACTCGCAGCCCCCGGCGCCTGATACTGGAAGAGACAGAACAAAGCCGGGGCCGTAGCCCGGTTATAGGCTGCTGCAAGCATCGAGACCTGCATGTGCCGGCTCATACGCAGAGGGCCAAACAATTGTTGAATTAAGGAATATACCTGAAATTAGCAGGCGTCGTGCTCAGATTCAAGGCTTATACTCCTTAATTACGGAATATCGGGTTCTCTGGACATGTATATGCATAAAACCACAGCAGGACCCATTTGATTGCATGACTCGGTTGCGACCGAAGTTGACCACATGAACATCGAAAAATAAGAATAATCTTCGCACCGACAGAGCAGATGGCAACTCCTCAAACCCACGGCTCCGCTAAACTCCAAACCCCAAAAAATCCTACAAACCAGGTATGCGCACGCATGCATGCATGTGTGTGTATATATGTATATACACACACATGCATGCATACATACACGTATATGAAATCTGCTTGCAGAAATAAATACATACAGACATACATTCATAAATACATGCATACATACATACATACATACATACATGCATGCATGCATGCATAAACCCTACAATCTCTTTGAGCCCTACTAGCGAGTCTTCCTACCTCTGTCCCCTGGCCGAGGGCGAGAAGAAGTCTCTCCGAGGAGAGCAGCGTAGGAATAATCCACCTGAGAAGTGCTTTCTTTAAATTTATCCCTTTTGTATGACATGACCTGGGCTCGGGGCGTAAGGCTTCGGGTCCGGGCTGGGGTGTTTATATCGAGGTTTCAGTGGCATTCGGTGTTAGGCTTCAGGTTTCTCAGGCTTAGGGAAGAATTCAGCACGGACATCTGCCCACTCGTTTTTTTCTATTGAAGCATCTCGCACCTAGGGTTGTGAGTTTTAAGGCTCAGGGCAATGCCCGGTCGTGGACTCCTGATGTCGAGCAGAAGCTGCAAAGCCGCTCGTGTCCTACCCTTTCCGAACTCCACATAAACCGAAGCAGGCTTTCTTTGAGGACCCAGTTCACTGACGGACAGCACATGCTGTGCGATGCCTGATGCCAAAGCCCCAACACACACTTATTTTCGCTCAAGTTTATGAAGCTTGAAGTTCGTAATCTAAAACCTGAAACACGCATCATACAGGTTGGCTACACGAGCTGCAGCGTGGCGATGAAGCGACCACGCTGGAAGTGGGCGCATGCCACCTCCTGATTGAAGCTTGGGATTCAGAGTTTGGGATATAGGGTTTGGGATTTCGGGTGCTTTTTGCTCGACTGATCTCGGCTGCAAAAGATAGGATGTGAGGCGTAGAATGTGTGTTTTCTGCTAGTTTAGAGGCCCTCGGGGCCTTAAGAATTGGAACATGGCTTGGCGGTCTGTTGTGCAAAGGGTCATACAGAGATAAGTAATTACAACCCCCCTGAGCCCTCACGCCCTAACCTCTCTACACCCTACACACCCGCTTACTCAACGTCCCACCTCCCTACAAACCCTGCGAACCCTACTACTAAGAGTCCCAATTGGGATCGAGGGTGCACTAACCTCCGAGCAGCGGCTCAGTCTCTCTCGGATCTTGACAAACCTTGCAGTCTACGTGGGCTTCTTAAGGCGCCCGAAAAAACAGAAAAGAGGGTATATAGGGCTTATAAGCTCTGTTGCGTAGGGTTTGGGGTGTACTATTTTCAGGGTAGTATAGCAGCCAAAGCTCCAAAGTTCTAAACGAAATTAAACCCTTTACGGCCTCTAACTTCAATCAGCCGCAAATCTCCAAGCTTTACCAAAACGATCCCTATGATCCTTAGATCCCCACCGATCTGTATGACTCAAAACACCCCCCTCAACCCTAAACCCTAAATCC